TATCAATAACAAGAATGAAAATGGTAGAAATATACTTACGCGAAAGACAAAGGTGAGTACAGCAAACACCTTTTGAGAAATATTGTTTGGGTCTATCCACGTCTAACTCTGAAATTTTTCCGATCAATAGATTAAAAGTCATAAATGGGTGCAGAATAAAAGGAAGTATCATCGCAGCAAAGGGAACCCGTATGTCACTAAGAGTGGCAGAAGAGTTGAAGAACGTGTTCCGAAACCCATTGACCGTAAGTGCCGCCATAATTGCACTGAAATCTTCTCAGAAGAAGAGCACAGAGATCAATGCAGAATATTGGAATTTAGGCGACTGTTCCTGGCCAATTGCGTGAAAATTGAGAAGTGCAAAAGGACGTTGACAATTGGATCACGGCGGGCGAACACATTTAATTATACTCTCAAAGCCAAACAGGTAAGCAAGAAGTTTTTTTTTTTAAATACTTTGAACTTGTCAGCCGACGCAATATCTGTTATCCATTACACTCGAGCAAAAAGTCAACGACTTTATCTTGCCTCCGACTTAACAATATCAAAAATGTACGATTTATTCAAAGAACTCCACACGGACGCAATCATTAAAGAAAACGTTTATCGCCGGATATTTTGCATGAATTATAATTTTCCACCGTCCAAAAAAGAACACCTGCTTAACATGCGAGAGGTGCAAAAACGCTGAGGACAACGACTCATTTCAGAAATCCTATGATGAACACATCTTAAATAAGTAAATAAGACAAAGGCAAGAACTAACAAGCAAACTGACAAGGAATCAGCTAAAAGTAACAGTAATTTAAAAGTGTTTACTTTTGACCTCCAGTCAGTGTTAACGACTCCTTGTAGCAACGTAAGCACGATGTATTACAGTCGAAAGTTCGCCACGTATAATAACACATTTTACGACATTGCCAGTGGAGAAGGTTACTGTTTTCTATGGGATGAAAATCAGGGTCAACGAGGATCGAACGAAATTGGGACCACAATATGGAAAATGATGAACTCGTTAGACGAATCGGTAACCGATGTTATTCTCTACTCAGACCGCTGCGGGGGACAAAACAGAAACAGGTTCATTGCGACACTATTGATTTATATCAACAAGACATTGAAGCTTAATTCGATAACAATTAAGTACCTCCAATGCCGACACACACAAATGGAGGCAGATTCGATGCACTCTGCAATAGAACGTGCGAAGAGAAGTATTTGCGTTTATTCGCCGGAAGAATGGCCAACTATAATGAGACTGGCAAGACGGAAAAACCCATATGCTGTATAGAGGCTTCAATACAGTAATATGATTGATCTCAAAGCCATGTTTTCGAGTTTAGGCCATAGCCTTAAGAAAAATATAAAAAATGACTCGGTAAATTGGCTTAATGTTAAGTTACTCCAAGTGAACAAAATTCAGCGAAAACAATTATTATACAAGGAGGAATGGGATGGAGACTTGAAAGTAATTGATATTGCAGGAGCGCGAAAACAAAAGAGGTGTTCAACTTTTCGTTTACTGGCAAATACAATAAAGAGCTGCCAATTTGTAATCGAAATCTGCATGATCTTCAAAATTTGTAATTTTTTTTTTAACTTACGAGATGGAAACAAGCGAAATTGTTTAGATGAGCCAGATGTAGCAGAGGAAGATAATGAAGACGAATGAATTTCTAGTTATTTTTGATTTACGCAATGTATACCTTCATTTGTCATAATTTTTTGTTTATAATAACCCAAATTCGAAAGTAATGAATAAATGCCACAGAATTAACAAAATTATGAATTAATTACGGTTTTATAATGTTACAAATTGATATTTTTGAGATCAAATATTTTAATAAAAATACCGTAAAATTATTGAATAAAACAGCGTATACGATACAAAATAAAATAGTGTATCAGATACATCATACGAATTCCTTAAAAAATAAAATAGCCTATATGGAGGACTTGCGCTTTGAATAACATAATTATGGTCTTAAAGGATGCGTAGAGTAAAAAAACTTGGTAAATTTAAAGACAAGAAATGGTATAATGTACTACCACTATGAAGAGTTTTTATTTACCGCGATATTGAGGTTCTAATAGAAATCTGATGCGACAAAAACTTTAAACTCGATCTTCTCAAAACCCAAAAAAAATTATACGCTATTGTTATATTGAGGGGACGATATATACTATACTATATACCATTCATACATATATTTGGATGTAAACATGTAATGTACCAAACTGTTTTCGGTTTCCCGGAAATCAACCGTTCTATTAAAATTTACAGGATCGTATACAGTTTTTATAGAGATCAACTGTAACTTTCCACAACATATATGCAAATAAGTACAAATGATTTAAAATAATAAATGGAGTTGACTCACTTTGTGCCGCTGACAAGGGTATTTGAGGGCTTTATATACAGTTAAGATAAGGGGGTAGCTTATGCCACTGCGTCCAATTTGTTTCCTCTCTGTTTCCTTTCCTTTTGTTTTCTTGTTCCGTAATTGCAACTTTCCCTTCGTAGGTTGGTTTCCTTCGCTGTTGGTTGGCTTTCCACTGTTGGTTGGGTTGTTTGGTTTATTATTATTATTTTTTCCAGTTTTTAATTTCAGCTGTATTAATGTTTGATTCCGCAGTTTATTATCTTATTTCACATAGTTAGATTTTATACAAATGTATGTATATGTTAAACTTCGCGCCCGTGTGGATGTATGTATATAAATTGTATTCCGCGACCGGCTTAAGAATTTCCTTTTTTTCTTTTAGGTTTTTGGTTCACTGTACTGTATGTGCACAACACGGAACCGTTTCGTTTTCCAAACTGTTGATATATATATACATCTAAGTATATAGATGTACCTTTTATTTTATATTTTATTCTTTTTCCAAATAGTGCCTTTCTTAGTGGCTTAGCAGCATGTTTAAGTCACTTCACTTTGTCTTTTAGCACTTACAACTTTCACGTATTTAAATAATACACCTGTCTCGCTTATAAGGGTATTTCAATTCAATTTAATTCGATTGATTTTAATGTCTTTACAAATCTTCACAAATATGAGGGTAATTACAATTTTTTTGATTCGATGTGTTAATTCTAATTTTCCACTAAATTGCAGAATCACAAAATGATTTTAATTAGATTTTTTCATTTATAAATGTGTGGAACTACTCAGACTAAGACGACCGAAAAGGCGAGAGGATCACAGTGATGCGTAGACTAGGGTGGGTCGATTCCGGACTTTTTTCGATTTGGGATTTCTAATAGTGCGGAAAAGTTGCCTTAGCGTTTCCTGATTCCAATGCAACTTTTTGTTTTGAAATCG